AAAGCACTTCGTCTTGGAGCCTTCTAGCGCTCCGGGAATCGCTTCTAGCACCTAGGAGGTGCTAGGGGAAAGAATAGAAGGTTTGGGGGTGTTTGGGAGAGATTTGGATGAGAAGATGTGAGAAAAGTGAGTGAAAATGCGTTCTATTTATAGGCTGCCAGCAGCCGTGTACGCTGGGCATAATGGCCAAAACAACAGTATGTTAGGGGTAATTTAAGTTATGATGGGCGTACTTCGTCCAGATGTTGCAATCTCGTTCCAAGCCGTGGGGAGGAAGGGACGACCCAGATCTTGCCACGTGTCACTTCCTGGTTACTCCAAAAACTAATTATCTTCTAAAATCCATAACTTTTGCAAATGGGATATGTTTTGGACGTTCTTTATATTTACGTGTAAGTAGCAAAGTGATTTACATCTTTCGTTTACACTCCGTCGACTAATTTTGATTTTATTTTTTAAAGTTATATTTTAATAGGCGTAAACAGTTAAAATCCGTTAAAAATTCATAACTATGTCATCCGACGTCCGTTTTCGACTGTCTTTATATTGTTGAGCTCCTATTAACGAGATCTTCGATTCTCGTTTAGGTTATATTGGCTAAAAATCGTTCGATCTAAAATTATATTTTCGGGTTGTGCACTATTATGTTAAGTTTTAGAAAAATCATAATTTCATCAAACAAAGTCAGATTTGAGTGTTCTCTATATGCACGCTCTCGGTTTAATGTATACGGCAACTTTGTTTAGATCACTAAGGCTAAAAAGTATTTTATCAAAAATTCACTTTTTACGTTACGAAGAGTCGTGTCGGTTTAATCGTAAAACTTCGATGGATCATAACTTCTTCGTTATAAGTCGGATTTCAACGTTCTTATGTACGGAATTCTTATGATATATACTATAACTTAGTTAAGATTATTTACTCTAAAAAGTCTTCTATCAAAAAAATTTATTTTTAACACTTATTATCTTTAAATTAAATAGCTCGAACCTGCGGGCGTTACATGATATTTTATTAGTCTCGGAGGGTCTCCAATTTCATGGAGAACAAAGAATCAAAACGACTATGTCTATATCTTGAGCTGAAACAGAGTATAGATCAATGACAATCATTGAGTGTGAAATTTTAAGGTTGAGATGGCTTTTACAATACTTAGGTGCTGGACAAAAGGTTCATACGCCCATTATGTGTGACAACGAAGTTTTCACGCATAATGTTGCAAACCTAATTTATAATGAAATGACAAAGCACTTTGAGAGGGAATGCTATTTTGTATATGAAAGAGTGTATAATGGATAAGTGAAGACTGTTTCCATCAAATATGAACTTCAAACTGCAGATATCTTTCCAAAGCTCTTAGGGCAGATCGGTTCAAGTTTTTTTGTGGCAAGTTGGGTGTTCGAAGTTTACACAATCCAACTTTAGAGGGAGTATTGAGATTCGAGATTTAAATAATTAGTATCATAGTTTATCTTTATCTCAGTCATAGTATTTATCTTGTTTTTTTTAGTATGTTTAGGATTCTTGTTATTTCCTAGTATAAATACTCCCCTTGTACATATTTGATAATTTTCAATGAGAAAACGTTTTCTACTCTAAAATTTTCATAACAAATTTAGGACATAGAAGAAATACCTAAACAACAATCACACAACAACAAAATTCATTGTGGAAACCCAAAAGTCGGATAACCCACTTTGGAGAACACTACATTTAGCTCGATATTCTTCAACAAATTACAAAATTTGATCATTTGTTATGGAAAAGGGAAGAAAGAGATGATTAAAAATATTGTTGAACATCAACACACACAGACATATACATACATTTGGGACTAAATAAGACTCCTAATAAAAGTTTAAGTGCTTCGAAAAAATGTTGCACTAAGAAAATTAGATACACAAGTTCTAGAAACATTTCTATTGACATTTTTTCCAAGTGTATAAATCTCAGGCATGTTGATTTTCTGGAGCGTATTAAAAAAACCGCACCTTGAGATGAAACCAACCATCAACAAAACAATCTCCAAAATCACAAAAAAAAAAAAAAAACATATAGTGATATAGAGTTCAAAATACCCTAAGGACTTAATTTAAAAAACCAATAAAATCCTAACAAAGTTCAAATTTGACGGTATGAATCGGATTTCTCATAATGTCAGCAGTTTGTTGTGGGTGTCATTCTTGGTCACTTTAATATTGTCTTAGGTAATAACATATTTGATGTAATGGAATCGCATGTCAATGTGCCTCCTTCACTCTTGGAACATTGAATCTTTTGTGAGGCGATCATACGTCATTGTACGTACACGATACAACTCTATAAGCCACATAGCCTCTTTAATTACACATTTATGAGATAGCCTTATACATAAATTTCGTAGTAATATAAAACAACATTGGATTGAACTAAATTAGAGGTATATATTTTTATCCTAGTTCTAGTATAAAATAAGTTTTGACATAGGTTATACATACACACAATGTGTGTGTTTGTGTGCGCTTTAGCGAACAAGCTAACAACTCTAATTCAAAGAGAAATACAAGACTTCATGATAATCACTACAAGAACCATCAATAGCAACCACGCCTTTAGCGGCAACGGATACTTTTAGCGGCGACAAAAAACAAATGTGTTTTTTGTCGCCGATAAAAGTATCCATCGTTGCTAGAGGCTTTTGCTGACGATCCGCGTCATTTCAATCTCATCCATTGATTTAATAGATGATCCTACGACTAGGATGACATAAGAAATCACACATTGTTTTCCCCCCGGTGTGTTGCCGTTAAAGAGTGTGCGTCGTCGCTAAAGGCTTATTGATCCGCGTCATTTCGATCACATCCGTTGATTTAAGCGGTGATCCAATTACATAGAAAACCCCGCATTGTTTTCCCTCTCATGTGTCTCCACCCATCAGTACGCGTCACTGCTAAAGGTTGTCGACAATAAAACCCTCTTTGTTCTCACTTTCTTTACCCATCTTAAGTGTTTTCTCTTCTTCTCTCTGCTCACCATCGTCGACATCATCGGAATTTCATAGAAAATTTCGCAATTTCACCCCACTTGCTCCATTTTCTCCTTTTCTTTTCATTTTCTATTCTCCGTACTAAATTTTTAGCTTTTGAAATGGTTACCGGAATTTTGAGATCCCTCACCCTTCTCGTCGAAATATACCGCCACCACCATGAAATATTGATTTTGTAGATGTGTATTTTGTGTTTGTAGATATGGATGTGTATTTGTATGTGCATTTGTATGTATATATGTATTTTTAATGTATTTTATGTATGTATATGGGTTTTTGTATGTACAGTTCTATGTATATATGTATTTATATATATATATATATATATATATATATATATATATATATATATATATGTATGAGTTTGTATTTTCATAGGCATTTGTGCATTTTGTATGTGTATTATGTATGTATATGTGTATTTGTATGAAAAGAAATACATATAAATAGCGACAACACATTTAGAGCATCCATAAAGCATTAAACTTATTAGAATTTAATGAATTGACACATCATTGTTAATTTACTTATTATACAACTCTACATTAATTTTCTTATAATGCATTGAACTCACTATAGATCAAATTAATATATATTTAATAGTTAAAAAGTTTTTATTTTTTTCATTGAAGAGTTCAATGACCATTAAACTCAATATCGGTTGAATGCCAACATGACATCTCATAATTGTAAAGTTTAATCCATTGAATGCCAATTAAGCATGATATCTCATTCAACTCTCTCTTTAAACTATGCATTGTGAATGATCTTAGTGGTGACGGAGAGCATTAGCGGCGACACATCTTTAGCAGCGATAGAAAGCAATAGCAACGACCAATGGAACATTAGTGACGAACCAACAGCAACGACCCTTTATCGACGACATATCATTGCAAATACCTTTAGCGGCGATATGTTGGACCTTTACTGGCAACGCCCGTCGCCACTTAAGATCAAAATTCTTGTAGTGAATGCTATGATTCTTAACCACTACTAGAAAATCAAGAAATATCGATTACATTATCCGTCGCTATTCCATCAGAATAGGAGGATGTCAACGAATTGTCGACGAGAAAATGATCATGACATAATGACTCGTGGGTAAATATTGTAGACGGAATATCTCTCCGTCGGTAAATTACCGACAGAATACCTGAGGAGAGTATAGCGACGAATTTCCTACGGATTATCGGCAGAGTCCACATTGATTGACATTGACTTTATTACCGATTGATTTTTGACTGCTCATATCACCGATGAATTTTCTGTCATTAATTACCTAAGAACTTTTCCTCCTACCTTTCCTCCCGATTTGGGAGGATTTGAGAAGAAAGAACAAAATGTTTAACTTTCCTTCCATTTCTCTCTAACTCGGGAACACAAATGACAATTTCTTTTTCCTTTCTTTTCTCTCCTTACTTTCTTTTCTCTTCTCTTCTTTTCTTTGCTATAACTCGGGAGCGGGGTGTAATAGTGATCACATACTTACCATTCATGTCCTTTATGAAATACAATTAACACAATCAATCTAGAGTTTCTTATCTTAATTATCGAAAGTATTTTCAAGATATGTCAATTTGGTTAGCTTCCTGCTATGATCACTTAGTATGTACTAATTGCTTTTACATGTATAAAATTGAAAATTTAGTTCTATTTTATGTATCAAATTGTATGTGTAGAATTGTAAATACGGTATTACATGTTTATAAATTTGAAAACACTTTGCTCATGCGTGACCTAAATAGAATTGTATGTACGTGAGTTTTGATTATCCATGAGACCAAGACATATATTCGGTATTTTGTAAAGAAAAAAAACCCAATTTCCTACCAAAAAATGATACGCTCACAAAAACATGACAACACGAACATAATTGTAAATAAATGATTGATCGAAGTCTTAATCTAAGTACTAGTCATCCAGTTAAAGAAAAATAAATATTAAATTATACTAGCGATGGTGCTTTATCTACGTTGGCAAGTTAACACCAGATTGTTTATAAAACAGTCAAACAAGCGTAACATCAACTCAAAAAAATAATAGTAATAAATATATAACATCAATTCAAAATAATAATAATCAATAGAACATAACATCACAAAAAACCCCGAGGATTAATAAAAACACAATCAAACCCATCAAACATCCTGTTGGAAAAATCAAATAACCAAACATAAAGCAATGATCAATGTCACAAGTGACGCAGTCATGCTATTACAAACCACTGTTGATGCCAACGATCGGGATGGTGATGGCCGTGGTGAACTCACGCCTTCCAGATTACTACCAACTGGAGAAGGTGAGCTTCCTCCGGTGGATGCGGGTGGAGTTGCAGATGGTGGGGTTACGGTGACAGGAGATGCCGGAGCTGGTGGAAGGGGTGATGAAGCACGCAGAGGTGAAGGTGGCGATTGTGTTCTAATGTGCAAAACCGCCACAATAATCTTTTGACCTTGATCACAGTTGGATTTATTACCAGTAATGAAGTAATGAGGACCCGGTTGTTCAAGTTTGAAATACGATTCACCACCATCCAGCTTCTCGATGGCATTATCAACATTGCAGTTATCATAATCATCTTTGTCCACCACCAAAACAGAATCCGTGGCATCTTCATACTTGAAATCTGCAAAGATTTTAAAAGCCAGATTATGAAACAAAATCTAGAACTCGAAAATGAAATCGAACAAGAAAGAGACGTACAGAGGGTATCGTTGACAAGAAACCTCAATCTGCCGGACCATGCATTGTAGTCTTCAACAGGGTTTAAGGTCCAGCCATCATCGTCACCAACTTCCAAGGTGACAGCCTGTGAAGAACATATGAAACTGATGAACAACGCCACTAAAAAACAGAGGGATTTCTGAGACGCCATGATCAGAGAAAAATGGAGTTGTGTGGAAGAACGAGCAGTTATGTTCACTATTAATAGAAGACAATATTACACTGTTTACAGTTACATTCGGCAAACTGATATAAAGTATAACGATAAGATATTATATTAGTTAGAACTGCAGTTAAAGATATGATCATGGATAGACCCCCCACCGACATCTAAGTTGTAATGGGAAATACACGAGGGATGGGGGTAATGTTGTAATTTATCATGTGTGATCAAAGTTAAAAGACATTGTACATAAACTGGCAAAGCAAGATGAAATTATACAAAGTGATCAGTATACACTTTAAAGAAATAGATAGTATCTGGAATTGGCAAGGGATAGTTGTTGCAATCAACCATGTTCCACCGAAGAATAAAGACATTCCACAAAAGGTAGATACAGATTGGGTGAAGCATGAACAAAGTGTACAAAGTGCAACACATTCTTTAAAAAGAAAACTAGTATTTTATTTTTGAACTGGTGAAGGGTCACTTGAAATTTACAATGTAGAATCTTAATAAAGGGTGTTATATATAAAAGGTATATACGGAGGTGCTCTAAACAAAATACTCAAAGTAAAACACACATAGCTAGGTTAAACGAAATGCATCACATTTATGCATGAAGGTGGTGGAGGTAATCATTTCACCTTAAGTCACAAACCTTAGGAAATAATGTTCTACCAGCACCCAGCAACTTGCAAGTGAGTGGCTAGAAAAAGAATTATATATATCTTGCAAGTGAGTGGCTAGAAAAAGAATTATATATATATATATATATATATATATATATATATATATATATATATATATATATATATATATATATATATATATATATATATATATATATATATCCGGTAACAAATTTTTTTTGGTAAGAAGGTAAAAACAAAAATTTCGACTTATTTTTTTGGCGAACAAAACAAATGAATCACTAAATGAATCAATAATAACACGATTCACCAAACAAAAATTTCAAAAAAACATTTCGATGATTCATTTTTATGATGATTTTGTTGATACTCACTAAAATTGTCATAAAAGCGAATTTTTTTCTTGATTTACCTAAAAATGAATCATAAATGTGTTTTTTCCGGAATTTTTTCTTGTGAATCATCTTACTTTTGAATCGTCTAATGATTCATTTCATTTTTTTGCTAAGAAAATATGCATATAAAAAATTTCTTACCTTCCTACAAAAAATTTTCTTCTTATTTGATCTTGAATATATATATATATATATATATATATATATATATATATATAATATATATATATATATATATATATATATATATATAGGAGTAGGATCAAATAAGAATACCAAAAATGTTGAGAACGCGAGAACAAAATATATTTATTTATGATTCAATGTATTCATTTGTGGATGAATTATAAATTTTTACGCCTTTCATTTCAACCGGAGAGAAAAAGCATATTAATGTTGATTATGTGTAAACATTTATCATTTCTCCACAAATAAATACATGGAATTACAAATGCATATACTTGTTCTCGCGTTCTTATATATATATATATATATATATATATATATATATATATATATATATATAATATATATATATATATATATATATATATATAGAGAGAGAGAGAGAGAGAGAGAGAGATAGAGAGACATATTTAATACAGATCAATCATAATTAACCAAAGAAGCAATTTTTTTTTTCAATAATTAGAACTTGTTTTTTTTTTTTAATATAAAAAAAATGTTGATATTCATAACTTATTATCCTTTTTTTAATTATATCAAATTCAATAAAAAAATCGTTAAATTTCAGTGTGAATCTTAATTCACACGGTGAACTCAAAAAATATATAATTTATTTTTTTAGCATTCACAATGTGAATTTATTAATTTAGAAATATTTTGTTTTTTGTCGATAAACATTAAACTCTAAAATTTGAAAGAAAAAAAATGGTTCCATGGAAAACCAATAATTATAGTTTTTTATTGAACTTTTTTTTTCTTTCGTTCTCTCTCTCTCTCTCTCTCTCTATATATATATATATATATATATATATATATATATATATATATATATATATATAGAGAGAGAGAGAAAGAGAGAGAAAAAAAAAAGGATAGGAAGGAGAGAGATTGTGAAGGTAGCAAGCTTCATGGATGGTAACAAAGTTACAATATATAATTGTATTAAACTAGTATGTTGCTATTGAGTTGGCCTAATATCATCACATTACGCTATTAATTTATTTCTAACATTTCATATATATTTATAGAAAAAGATTATAGACCAACTAACAAAATTTGGTATTTATCTACACTTTATATAACATGAATTTTATTTTTTTAAAATTGAATGAATATAATAATAATATAATTTTAAAATTTATAAATCTTTTACATTAAAATACAACCATGTATCAATAGAATAATATTATATTCTAAATAGTTCAAGCTTTTAAACTCAAAATACAAATATCTAATGCATAAAAGAACAATTGATCGCATCTTAAGATAAAAATTTATGTTTTATTTGACTCGGTGATAACTCCGAATTTAAAAATTCAAATAAGTTTGTTCTACAATTTTTGGGATAGAATAGGTTTGAGCGGGAACATAATATTTTAGTAAAAGCAACATATCACAAAAAGAAACTATTCACCTCCACAATTTTATGCAGGTACACCACTAGTTTTATTTATTCGTTTGATTGGTTCTCCATACTTACATTAAGTAACCGTTGAAACTCATAAAAAATTAATCAACTTAAACTTTTAAAATTTAAATTTATATTATTATTGATAGCGTGCCTCCTGGGCACGCCGTAAAGCAATAAAAGCACTTGTCACATGGCCCGGCCAGCCAAACATTCCTACCATCCAACACCCATTTTGGCCTGAAATAGATTGTATTTCGGTACCCGGGATCGAGCCCAAAACTAGCGTAGGTAAGTCGATAGATGACAAACAGACACCTGGTAACTCCGGTGAAGGTGCACACACTAGTATCGTGGCTAAGCCAATCGCAGCTTGGGAAGGGGACAAACATACGATCCACCAATCAGCGTCATTGTCCCAATCGGGGTCTGGCCCTCCTCTCTCCACAATCGGGATTCGTGCCCAACACCTTACTATAAAAGGTCATGAGCCTCTAACGGTAAAGGGGTTGAACCCTCATTATCTAAGCCTTATGTTATATACCATCCTCCATTGGAGACTGACTTGACCATCGGAGCGCTCTCTCGGGACCTCCTCCATCGGAGAAACAGATGACAACTTGTTTCTTATTGTGATTGCAGATCTCCTCTAGAGCCCATACTACCAAAAGCATCGATACCGTCCTGGAGATTCAATATCATATCTTTGGCGTCCTCCGATTGTTGAGACATCGATGCTAAAAGCCTCAATTACCAAACCCCTATCACGACGAACAGAAAGAGGCACCAACAACACAATGTGAAGCCTTGTCAGGACAATGACATCCCTTAACCCAATCATCACTGAAACAATCGAACGACATCCTCCACAGTCGCATATGCTCCTATATCAGGATTGCCGATAAATCTGTTCTGGGTACCTTTACTCACTCCAATAAGTGAACAACAATCAAACTAGAATAGCTTCACACCAAACACAACGCAAATAACAACTTCGTTACTCTCCGGTACCTCGCCACCATTCATGTTGACACAAATAGGAATGTAACCCTACATGCATGTACAAACAATACCAATTTTCCAACCGCTCTACTCAACACCAATGAAACAACCATCCCTAGCTGCACCTTTCATCAGAATTGCAAGCAACTCACCACAAACGTTTGCCTCATCTGTTCAGTTTGGTACATCCTCTATGTACTCCAACTTGGTCTTCTATAATGTTCATGCACAACCATTCCAAACATTTACCAACATGTTAAATAACGGAAACCATCCAAATTTCCCTACATTCCAACACTCAAATTTCTCACAAAACCAAACAAACAACCACATATCACCATTATATCAACATACATCAAAATTCATACTTGAATTAGATAAATAGGGCATGCCCACTACCGCCAAACTCCCACACCTAAAAATACACAATGGAACAACCTGCCTAAATAGCCACATAGACGCATATGAATGGCACATGCAGTCACTAAAGTTAGATAAGCGATTTTGGTGCACACATTTTCCAACCACCATAGATAGGAATGCAATGGCCTCGTTTAAGAGCCTAACACCAAACAGTATCCAAAATTTCACAGAGTAAGGAATTATTTCTCACCAACTTAATAAAGTTATGAAAATACATAAGGGGTGTATGACAAATAATTTGTTATAAGCAACATGAAGGGGAGTCTATAAGGGACTACTTCAAACATTTTAATGAAGCCACACTAGATGTTCCAGGGCAGAGCGACAATCTAGTCACTAGACCTCTCATACATGACCTTCTACTTGGAACATATTTTAAAACGTTTCTTAGGAAGATGCCAACAACCAAGTAAGAAATGAATAAAAGAGTCCAAAACTACCTACGACAAGAAGAAGGCACGACAACTAAATAAGCATATATGAAAGCAACAAACTCCCAAAAGGGATAGTTAAGAGACAAATGTAACAACTAATCTGAATGGGGATATGGAAGCAGGAGATAACACTTTAAAAGACCCTACCGACCATACCAAAGGGATGATATGCGACACAGTTTCCCCGACATATTGGCCATCACTAACAAACCAAAAAGCACCTGAAAACTTCTAGATAGGCCGTTCGACAAGTCTAAAAATTGCGAATTCCACAAATGACCAGACAACGATACGACCGAATGTAGTGTCCTAATGAAAGAATTAGATGAATGCATTCATCAAGTGAAGCTTAAGGAGATAGCCAGGACCCTAAGATAATCCCATAACACGGTTAAGCCAACAACCAGACCAATCAAAGAAGAACCGAAGGTCACAAAAAAAAGGAAAGAGATACTCTTCATTCGAATCCATCACCAATCCAAGGTACCAATCATGAACACATCAACCCTAAAGGGTTCAGAACTACAATTCTCACCACATGAACATGCTCCCTCGGATTAGGGAGGGGGGGACCCCCAAATAGTACATGGTCGAATAAAAAAAATTAATATCCACAAAGTCTATTTCAACGGAGGAAGTGCGGCAAATATTATCTTTAAACACTACTTCAGAAAATTACCCTCCAATTGGAGGGATGGGATGGAACCGTCACTAGGCAGATTAACAGGCTTTGGATGGCATAGTGTCACACTATTAGGCGCGATCTTCCTATAAGACAAGAATAGCGCAAGAAGGAAGACGATACTACCACACTTCATCATTATTCAGGCAGCATCTAAGCACAACATAATCCTGGGGAGGACAACAGTGCTCAAATTTGGAGCCATCGTGTCAACTGCTCATGGACTAATCAAATTCCCCACAGGAACGGACATAGCGACCGTTAGGGACATTACAAAAAAATCTATTGAATGCAATCATGTTATGGCACCCGAAGAAATCACAATAAGTGAAAAGCGACTAAGCGAAGAAGAATCAAAGGTGAATGAAGTGATACATGATAAATACACAAA